TTTACCCAGTTTAGTTTTATGACCTTGAGGGTATCAGATACTTGTATTTGTCGTAAGTCCTTTCCATGAATATTCTTGAATCTGAAACATGTTTGCAAGAGCATCAGAGTAAAAACAATAATGGTAAATGACAAAAGATTCAAAAATGGCCATGGTTAAAGATCTGATGAGAGTTCATTATAAGGCAAAGTTGGTTATTTCTGAGACACACACCATTTCAATAATTAGACTTACAAGTGATAACATTATACCAAAACAAATCAAAACTTGAGAAATTTCATAGAATTTCTAGAGCAATTATATTAATAGCATTCACCCATACTATATAATCTAAGAAGGTTTATCATCATTTATCTGACAATGCTTCCCATGTAGTTTAATGTACCAAATAAGACTAATTAGTCAAAAAGACGTCCTTCAAAATTTTGTGAAGGTTGTCAAAAATATCAAAGTTTTAAAGGATTTGCCTAAATAGAATTACAGAGCAAAACTTAATACTTAATAATACTTATCTATTTAACCAACGTAGCAATAAAAGATTCTAAAGGCAAATAAAGAAATTACATAGTTGTTAGCAAAACTTAGCTCTTTTAATACTGAGAAGATTCAGTTTTCTTAAGTGATCAAAGATCTCATAAATACAAAACAGAAATTTTTTTCTAGGTGATTACATTAAAGATAAACAACCTTGTTTACAATTTCACATTAAGAGTAGAGTAATAATCTAAGGAAACTTTGTCATTTTAACAGAGAAAAACCAAATTCCAATTTTACACCAGTGTACATTTGACATCATTTTATATAAATTTATTCTAATCTTAGCTACTACTAACCATACATATTCTTTTCCAAAGGTTTCCTTTTTGCAAACTTTCTACAACTTTTTTCTTTTCTTTCTTTTTTTGTCTTTCTTCTTTTTTTTACATTTAGATTTGTCCTAAGTTTTCCCTCTTTAAATAGTCTCACTTTAGGACAAAATAATTTTCTTCAACAAAAATGCATTCCCATTCCTCATGCTTTTTGTTTTTTTATACCAAAACCAAAAACATATATCTCACTTTCCTTGCATAGAGTTGTCCATTAATCTTAATTACATTTATTCGAGTTCTGAACTCTTAGAAACCTTAGTTTCTAGTAAAAACTAAAGTAGTAAGCAACTGTGAACTGTTTGTTATACCAGTATTCTTTAGATGGGCAAATTTACAAATACATTTAGTAATTTTTAGAAATATATGCCTTCTTGTAGTAAATGTTTCAACATGGCACAAAATATGTTTATTAATAGACCCAAATACCTTTAGTTTCTCTGTAATAGAAAGTTCAAAGTAGATAAACCTATGTTAGTAATTAATGTTTCAGTATTTTATCTTATTTGAAAATGATCTAGGTATTTAATGACTATCCATCACATAACTTAGCAAAACTCTAACGTTTTAACTTACAAAAAAAAAATTAGGGGAAAATACCTTAAGTAGACACAAATATTGCTGACAAATCTATAAACTTTTATCTTAAATCTATTTTAATCCCCTTGTTCTTAATAAAAAATTTGAGATGCTTATCAGCTATCATCTTTTTCCTTTTTTTTTTTTAAGATTATATAATTTATTTATTTGACAGAGAGAGCACAAGTAGGCAGAGTGGCAGGCAGAGGGAGAGGAAGAAGCAGGCTCCCCACTGAGCAGGGAGCCCGATGTGGGGCTCAATCCCAGGACCCTGGAATCATGACCTGAGCCCGAAGGCAGACGCTTAACCAACTGAGCCATCCAGCAGCTCTAATTTTTAGTACATGTGCTGCCAAGTAAGCACCAGCATTTCTTTTAGGGGCTTCTAAATACCAATCAAAATATGCATCCCACTCCAGTTTAATTTAATAGCTGCCTTTCTTGAGTTGGGTGGGTAAATACATGGTATTTCAAGGGAATCCCGTTTAGGCCATTTGAATGTTAGAATCATCCTTAGTATAATTTTCTCATTTATTTAGAAGCTTGCAAATATATGATCCGTGTGTGTTAAACATGAATCCCCCCTGGAGTGTTGGAAGGGCTACCCATCCTGTTTTTCCATTTGTGATGATTTATCTCAGTCCTACTGGGTTTAAATGCTTGGCACTACCTAAGGGATTTTAGTTGTGGACTGATGTGCTGATTAGAATGACCTTGCACCTCCAGGGTCTCCCCCTGGAGTTGGTTAATGGTATTTGTGTCTTGCTGTTTCTCTCCATTTAGCCTGGCAAAAATGAAAAGTGCTCAGAATGCTGAGCAGAAAACTTACATGCATCCCTCAGTAGAGCAACTAAATTATCTGTACTGTAAATGGGAATCCCTAGGAGACCGGTTGCAGTGTGTAAGGTTAGCCTCTGCACTCTCCAATGAGAGGAGCTCCTGTCCTTTGTCTTCGGATTTCTTCAGAATCTCATTTATGTCATGGTAGCATCGAGTATTCACACTGGCAAAATTCTGAACAGTTTTTAATTTCTGGGATGAAGATTTGTCGCTCCAACAGACCTGCAACCTGTGCTCTATACAGCCCGGCGCCCTTTCTGACTTACACAGGAGGAAAGAGACAACGGATAGGACCCAGAACCTGTGTTAAGCACAAAATGGCGCTCTTCCCTGACTGCAGGGGAAAGAAATAAAGGTTAAAGCCCGAAACCTGGGTCATACACAGAATGCCACCTTTTCCTGACTTTGCAGAAGAAAGGAAAACAACAATCAATAAAGCTCTGGACCATCTACCAAACGGGGAGGTCCGGATCCCAGGAAGAGCCCACCCAGTCCATTGTACTTCGTGTAAGGAGACAATTGGGCACAAGAACCAGTACCAAGGGTCCGTTTCCTGGTGGAGCCCAGATGAGAAAATGGCCTCTTTTGGGGTCCTTTCGTGGTCGCCAGACTGTCAACTGAAAGAAAGCCAACCTCAAAAGAGGTTAGTAAATACTTTATTAGCTGTCTTACTGAGGACGACTGCCCAGGAAGCAGTCTTTCAGACTGCTTTGAGGAATTGCTCCAACGCTTGTTAGCTACAGGGGATTATATATACAAAAAGGGGAAGAGGGGATACATGCTGGCAAGCAATTCTCCAAATACCTGTGTGTCATAAGGTATACTTGGTTACAGTTATAAAAAATTAGGGTTTTCTGATTTCCACATAGACACGAGAAAAACCCTTAGGCCATCTTAATACATTAGGTTTTTGTCATATCTGATTATTCAGAAATATTGCCTGCATGCCTCTCCTTAACTGGTTTTCTGGTTCTACCTGTTTTTGAGATCTCCTTGAGGTCGCTTGAGACATTCACAGAAGGCTGACATCAGTCACCTGCTGCAGTTTTCATGCACAGGGGAGTCTAAACTTGGTTTGATGTTTTATTGTTCTCCCCCAAGCAGAATATGATACTGCTTTTTTAAAGACAAAAGAAAATTCTCTTAGGTATTTTGCTAATTCAAGTATAAAACAATGTGTATTGGGCTTTGCAAAGAATGTTTTAAAATGTGTTTTATGTGATTCGGAGTTAAATAGCATTTGTTCTATCAAGTGCTGTCACAGTGCTTGGCACAGGGAAGGGACTGAAAATGCTGATCACATTTGATTTGCAGAGGAAAAACTTGAGAATATTTTGCATTCTAGTCATGATAAGATAAAAGGCGTTGCTTTAAAATAAAATTAGATAAAAATAGAAGGAAGAACAGAGTGGAAAGCTGAATGTACTATCTTCTGACAAACCACTTACAGGCACTGAACTTCTTTGTGCTTGATTCCCTTTGTAATACATGAAAATAATAACATCTGGTACTTCATATAAATATTTGAATATTAAAGACATTTACCTTGTGATGTGAGTTCCCTTTAAAAAAAGGGCACAAGGTAAATATTAGCATAGTAGGACCAGCATTTTTTTTAATGTGTTTTTTTGGATAAAGGCAGTAATAATTTTTAAACTCTTAGCAGTTTTCTCCAGGGTTCAAAGTTGGACAATAAGGTTGATTTCCATATATTTAAAGGTCATCTAGCTTAATGTGTTTCTGAGTGAGTTCCAAGAAATAGAAAACCAGAGGTTACAGATTGGCTAGAGCAGAATGACTGGGAGGCAGGGCAGGCTGGTGGGTGGCAGGTGAGCAGCATGTGGGAGGCAGGTGGGAGGCAGGTGCTTCTCCAGCATCATGTTGCCACACATGTTCCCGCCCAGCCTTTCCATGACTTTCATGGAGTAAGAGCTGTTCCATTTGTCAAAGTGATAGAATCCCATTTACTTTTATTGGATTCCTAAATACAATGGTTTTAGAGATTGTGAGGATTTCTTAATGTATAGTGAACCTGAGAAGTCAGTTTTAAGTTGTCTTTATCTCATGTCAGGGAATCCTAAGAATGTTTGGGATTCTCACAGACCATCTACTACAATAGCAATACACCTCAGTTTGGTTAGTGGCAAAGTGTGTTTTTAAAGTGTGGCAACCGGGGGCGCCTGGGTGGCTCAGTCGGTTAAGCGTCTGCCTTCAGCCCAGGTCATGATCCCAGGGTCCTGGAATCGAGTCCCGCATCAGGCTTTCTGCTCAGCAGGGAGTCTGCTTCTCTCTCTCCCTCTGCCCCATCCCCACCGCTCATCCTCTCTCTCTCTCTCAATTAAGTAAATGAAATCTTTAAAAAAATAAAAAGTAAGTGTGGTGAACAGCCATGATCCTTATCCACACTAAGTTACGGATTTTAGATTAGTTATATACTTTTCTACATCAGGCTCCATATTGACTTATCCAAATTCAAGTTTTTTTTTTTTCTTTCAAATCATTTTAGTAACCTGGCAGTGATTCAAAATATGGAAAGAAGATTCAAACTGGTTCCCTTAAGGGGGATTGCTACCATGATTGCCTCACACCAGTGGATCAAAGGCAACAGTGAAACAGGGTTCCAAAGAGCAAGGGTGATAAGAAGGCTTCAGGGCTCACAGATGGAAGAACTTGGTTTCGAAAAGTCTCTGAGGGGAAAAGGCAGCAGAAGAGACATGAAATGTAAGGGACGCTCAGAGGATAGGGCATGGTTGCTGGGTCTTGAGTGCCTTGAAGTGTTTCTTGATGGTGATTCAGTGTCAAGAGTATTTGTCATCTGGGGAGAACCCAGCAGGATGAGTCGAGGAGGTCTCTTGTCCCATAGGTTCAGCCCAGCTTCTTCGTTGTATAGACCTGATCTCCCCACTGTTGAGATAATACTGCAGAAACATGATCACGCCAAAGCCAGATGTTGCAGTTTAGTCTGCAACTCCTTCTGACTCACATTTTCTTTTTTTTTCCCAAGGCTTTTTGTTTTTGTTTTTGTTTTTCATATTACTCTGTATGTAATCACCAAAAATTACTTGTAGGTACATTTCTTCAAGTACTTAATAAATTATTTTTTCTATGCCTGGATATTATTTGTCTTTATATCTTCCTATGTCAGAGTAATAATGAAATAGGGTAAGTTGGACTTTAATTCAGTATGCATAATATTAAATTACCTAGCACACATCAAACACCATTTTACACATTATGAAGTACAGATCTTAAGGATTATAACATACATTTGTGGAAAGTATGTAAACACATAAGTACAATTATAGAAGGCTAGAGACTATAACACAATGTGTAAGTTTATATATTCATTTTATCAAGTCTTATGGTTCTTAAATGTAGTACTATAAATGAATATCTATTAAATCATCTCCAAACTGTTATGTTTGCCACTTTTTAGATAATCTATATGGCTTATTATCAAGAACTTAGTGGTACTCAGTTGTTCCTTATTTGTTACATTTATTTGATCAGTTACAATAGGTTTGAGGCTTGAAATAAAGTGTCACTGTTTTGAAGTGACAGTTAAAAAAGATGGTTCAGTGGGACTGCATAGTATTCAACTTTATCATTCAGCTGAATGCTGCTATGTAAAAAGTATTTGTTTTTTCATAGATGGCACCATCCCAGGAGGCCTAGCTTATGCCATAGAAAATAAGATTGAAAATGACCTTAGTAAATGGGAAAGTATTTAAAACCACAGAATGGCATTCAGTTTTTAAAAATTTGAAAAATAGGCTGTACAAACATAAGCTAAGGAATGACTGGATGCCTGGAGAGTCTATGAATCTGGACATTTATTTGGTTGCAGAGCTAAAGAATAATCAGAACCTAATGCTAGAAAGACCAGTATAACGAGAGTAGACGCTTACATACAGAGTGGAACATAGAGAAGAGTGTATGTTCAGGAGTACTCTCCTTTTATCCTAGGGTCAAGTTTGAATAAAAGATACAATTTCATCACTTGGAACAACACTGTTTTATTTAAAGTAATGTTTCTGTTGGAATATATACTCGAGAACATAATTTTAATATGCCCCCCGACAAAATTAGAGCAACATCAGGGAGATGAGATGCTTAAAAGTCTGGGAGCCCTATGAGAAGGTTGGTATTTAATATGAAATGTAGAAAACTCATAGAGTGTACATTGGACAGGGGGAAATTAACACATGGAGAATTATTTCATTGTATAAAACAGTGTTTTCCATGGCTCATTAGCTAAAACAAATTTAGTGGTTTATCATTATGTTTTTTTTTTAAATAAAATAGAATAAGAAAGAATAAAATAGAAAGTACCAGAGTGCCTCACAAGTACAAATAACATGTATTTGATGTCACTTTAATTGTTTACAACTGTGTAGTCATTGGTCATGATCAAAAATGTTTTTTAAATATATTGACAGAATTTCAAGCACATGCAAAAGTAGACAGATACTTTAATGAATTCCCATTATCCATCACCTGTCCTAAACATCCATCAACACTTAGTAAAGCTGCCATATCCACAGTCTTACTACCTCACCATTTCATACTCTGTCTGAAGCCATCTTTGATGTCATACCTGTGTTTTCACTATGTATCACTAAAATTTAAGGATTATTTTCTAACGTAACTACAATACCATTATCAATTATTCCTTAATATCATCAAAGACCTAAAAATGTGTTTGTCTTTCATGGTCACCATCTCTGTTTCACTACTTAGAAGTGTGCCTGACATTACACGTGGTGGATTGAGTAGATGCTATATGTTGGAAATTTATGACATAATTTCTGAATTAGACTTTGATGGGAATGTAAAGTAGCATTATTTGGGCTGCTTTTGATGTAGAATCAAGTTTTTCCTCATTCTGCAAGTAACAGAGAAGAAAAAAGTATCTTCCTGGATTTTTCATCCTTTCTTAAATGTGTATATCTTGAACAATTTACTACTCACTGATTAATCAACCTTATTCTAACATCACAAAGATCCTTCTTTATAGATGTAATTACTATGCATGTTGCCTTAGATTCATTTATTATTCAGTCACTGAAATTAAATGTCCGTTGTTCACTTGATACCTATAGTTGACTTATATTCCCTTTTCTTCAGGAGCACAGTTTAGTGAGCCAAGAGTAACAAATAAACAGTATTGCATGTGAGAAGCCACAGTGGAAATACTGAATGTCAGTAAATAGAGGATATACTCTAGACAGAGGGAAAGCATGTAGAGAAAGAAATGTATAAAAGGCATGGCATTTTTCTAAAACAATGAAGAAGTTTGTGTGGTTTGATCTTAGTGTTTATGGGGGTGCAAAGAAGGAGCAGTAAATGTGAAAAAAGAAAGTTTGGAGCCAAATTATATATCCTATGTGTCAAGCTAAAGTTTAGACTGCATTTTGGAAGCAGTGAGAAATTTTTGCTGTCCCTTAAGTATGGAGCAAACTTTATTATCATTGTTGTTGTGATGATGATGGTGATGATGACGATTTTGTAAAAAGAAGTCCCAGGAAGTGACTCTGAGACATGGTTGGGAGGAAATGTGGAGACATGGGGTTCGACAAGGAGACTATTGCCGTGAATCCAAGAAACTGTTGGTGGATGACAAACTAATGCAGAGGCATTGGAGGGTGAATGAGAGGGAACAAAATTGCTAACTAATTTGGAATAAATACTTGATAACCAAATATATGATTTTCATTGGAAGAAAGGGATGAGTGTTGGATATTTCTGAGGTTTTTAGCTTGGCAGACTGCATGGTTTCCTTACCAGAGAAAAGGCATACAGAAAGAGGAGCCGGCTTGGTGTGTGTTGTGGCAGGGACAACGAGGATGAATCATTTGCAATTGTATTATGTTTCAGATGCCCACAAGATGCTCAGTTGTAGGTAGCCATTAATGGCGTGTATCTGGAGCTCAGGAGGGAAGAATGAGACAGATGTGAAAGTAATCTGCTTGAACTGGATAATTACACTGGGTAAGATTTCCAGGGAGAGATAGAAAGAGAAAAGAAAAAAGAAGGAAGAGAGAGGAGAGAAGAGAAAATGAATTTTTATCCTGTATTTTTTCACGAAACAAATAACCACAAAATAAATGTGTCTCCCCTGCTGAAAATGTTTATTTTGCTATTGATTGTATATTTTAAATAGTCAATAAGACTTTTCCTGAGATCTTTCCTTGGAAACCTCTGACTTAAATCCAAGATGCTAGCTATGTTGCTTTCTTTCTTTCTTCTTTTTTTTTAAGATTTTATTTATTTTTTTTTTAAGTAATCACCACATCCAACGTGGGGCTCGAACTCACAACCCTGAAATCAAGAGTTGCACATTTCACCAACTCAGCCAATCAGGCATCCCACTGAGGGATGCTGGCCAGTTTTCTTAAATACTTCTTCCACATTCATGATGAGGATAAAAATGTGTATAATACACACCAAAATTTCTCAAGATGGTAGCAACCACAAAACTGCCTTAGGCTAAAAGTAACAAAGAAAGAAGATTTGGTAACTCCTTAAGTGTTCTATCTATTAAGCTCTTCTTTATTCAGATGGCCTTTCATGGTGGAAACATAAACTCAAAGGTGAAGCATTTTCACAAAGGCTCTCTTTGTCCTGACATTATTTGCCAAGTAAAGTTACCATACTTCAAAATATGACCAGATAGGAACCAAGTAACCACAGCACAATTGTAAAGAAAGATCTAAAACCTAGAGCTACAGCTATAATAACTTCTAATGAGGCATGGGGGGAGTTTGACTACTTCAGTTGGAAGGATGAGAGGAAAGAAAAACTTAGAATGTTGGAAATATAACAAGAGACCAGAACAGACAGTCCAAAACAGAATCCAACATTTGGAAGTACTAACAAGGAGTAAGATGAGGCCCCAAAGGTAGGTAAGTGGAGTATATAACCTGCTAGTTTATCTGAGAGTAGGTAGCATGGGAGTTAGGGCTGGCCACAGGGACCTGCTCCTGACAGGATTTCTAGCACATATTCTAATTAATTTGGGGACTTGTCAGAGCAGCTGAGTTGCTCTGAGACTAGAAATCTTTGCTTATCCAGGTAGAAATCTGGACTCAGACAACAAAACAGGGATACAGTGACTAGATCTGAGAAATTAGAGTGTCGGGGAGTGAATGTTAGTGTTTGAATTCTGTACGTTATTCTTTCTGCCTTCTCTAATAAGGAGGCTCCTGATACCCCAGTAGTCAGTCCTCACCACACTCAGGGTTTGGCTGAAAAGTAGTGCTAAAGCTTAGATCTAGGAACCTGTTGGATGCTTCCTGCAGTAGTTCTGTTCCTTTCCACCCCTCTTTCCTGCCCACTCCCATGTTTTATCCTCATATAAATACACACAGTGTTTTTGCATGCTAGTGAAAAGTGCCCTATTCAATGACTTCCTTTCTGACTAATCTTATGAATCAATCCATCCACTCAGAGGAGCTAATAAGGTTGGTGGTCAGAAGCACATGCTTGGCTGGACATTCTATCCTCTGTGGGAAGGGGTGGAAATATGAGAAGAGCATTAATATTTTACTCTTTTCTAGAAATAGGGACATGCTCTGATAACTAGACAAAGTAGAACTAGCCCATATGGCGAGTCAGATTGGCAGTGAGTGTCGTGATGCCAAACCTCAAATTGTTGATCTAGAGTTTACTTGAATATCCCTGACTATGATCAAGATCCATCTTATACACCAAAATGAGGTTGAGCTTGCGCTTGTTACACAGAGGACGTGAAGCAGGTATGGCACTGTGTCCATTGTTTTCTAATTTAGTCAAAGGAGTAAATAGCTAGACAGGACCTGAAAGGATCTGGAAAAGGCATCCATGACAAACATGCGACTTAAGTTAATGATTTCATGTGTTTGCTCCTAGACTTCTTGGCACATGTATCAAATTTCTCCTTTTGGTGAGG